AAGGTGAAAGGTATGCCCTCAGGCTGTGAACAAAACCAAAATAAAACTACCAAAACAAAGCCTAAAAACCAAGCCTCCACACACCAAGCAGCTTCACTCCCTGCTAGAAAAACACAACAGAGGAAGAAAATCAGATACAGAATTTCTTTGATGTACTGTATATCTAGTGTCTACTATACAATAAAAAATTATAGTTACGTGAGGAAAGGAGAATGTGACACACAATCAAGAGAATTAAAAAAAAAAAAAAACAGTCAGTAAAGTCCAACTTATGCCCCACACCTAAATGCTGGAATTAGTAGATAAGGATTTTAAAATGTCATTATAAATATGCATGGGATTTTAGGAAAAATGAAGGACATAATGAGTGAGCAGATAGGGAATAGTGAAAGAGAAATGGGAACTATAAAAATCATCCAAATGGAAATCCTAGAATCAAAAACCACAGTACCTGATAGAAAATGCTTTGGATGAAATTAATAGATTAGATACTATACAAGAAAGGGTTGGAAAACTTGGGGACAGGTAACTGAAATGACCCAAATTGAACCGCAAGAGAAGAATGGGTATAAATAAATAGATGCAGTTTCAGTGACCTGTGGAATGACAAGTATGTAAACAGAGTTCAAGAACGAGTGGGGAGTTGAAGCATAAAAAATATTTAAGGAATAATGACCCTGAATTTCCCTGACATCCTCAGATTTAGTGGGGGGAAAAAAATCAGCTAGGCATGGTGACACATGCCTGTAATCCGAGAAACTCAGGAGGCTGAGGAAGGAGGATTACAAATTCAAAGCCAGCCTCAGCAATTTAGTGAAGCCCTAAGCAACTCAGTGAGATCCTGTCTCTAAACAAAATATAAAAAAGGGCTGAGGATGTGGCTCAGGGGTTGAGTGCCCCTGGGTTCAACCCCTGGTACCAAAACCAAAACTAAAACCAAACAAAAACAAAACAACAACAACAACAAAAAAAAACACCCAATCCATTGTTTCAAGAAGCTCATTGAACCCCATATAGAATAAATATGAAGAAAATCATTAGTCACATCACAGTCAAACTGCTAAAAAAATCAAAGATTGGGGGGAAATCTTGAAAGAAGCCAAAAGACCCTTTATGTATATAAAGGAAGGCAGCTGACTTATCAGAAGCAACACAGGCCAGAAGATAATAAAAATATTTAAAACGTGTTCAGGGGGCTGGGTTCACTTTTGGAAATTTAAGACTGGGTAGGAATCTGAGGTTGCAAGATTGAGTTCCAAGCCTCCCTCCCTCTAACACACACCAAGTGTGGACCCCACACACCCCTGCCACATACACAGTACCTTAGTAGATGACTTGATTTGTTGCTGTCAGAAAGGTGATAAGACATGAAAGCATTTGTACAAATTGTGGCACATCCATGAAGAGTCTCCGTATTCTCCACCATATAAACATCACATGTTTTTCATCTTGATGAAAACTACAAGGAAAATGAAGAGTCCTTTCTCCTTGACGTTTTTGTCACATGATGTTTCTATCCAACAGAATCCTCCACCTGGAGGAGGTGGGGGATTTTGAGCTCCGTGAGTCAAGCTGAAGTTTGATGGAGATGATGGGTGACATGGGAGGGCAGGGAGAAGGGGATGGCAGCCCGTGCTTCCTGGGCTCTAGCAGATGCTGGAGTCCAGGTGCAGTGTCAGCGAGCCTTATCTTATTCAATTCTCACATTCACCTGAGCAGTAAGTATTGTCAGCTCCATTTTAGAAACAAAGAAACAAAGTTTCAGAGAGAATAAGAAAGTTGCCCAGTGGCTGGGGATGTGGCTCAGCGGTAGTGCGCTCGCCTGGTATGTGTGCGGCCCGGGTTCGATCCTCAGCACCACATACAAACAAAGATGTTGTGTCCAGCGAAAACTAAAAAATAAATATTAAAAAAAAAAAAAGAAAGTTGCCCAGAGTAGTAAGAGGGTCAGGATCTGTGCCCAGATCTGCCAGACTCAGGTCACAGCATTTCACCCTCCCCAGTCGGCTGGTCCTTAGTTCTGTCCCCCACCCTGGGTTGTACAACAGGAGAGTCCTGTGTGGTCTGCACTTGTTCCTGTCCTTGAGGTACTCACAGTGAAGGAAGCAATAAAGAATTATTAAAGGAAGTCACTGAGCTATGCATCAGCCAGAGTGTGTGTGTGACACTATTATGTCATCTCTCATTTAATCTTCACAACAGCTCTGCGAAGCAGATCCTTGTATTATCCACATGTTATGACGAGGAAAGTGAGGCTCAGAGCTATGAGTGGCAGAACTGGAATAGGCTCCAGAGCTCAAGCTCCCCAGCAGGATCCCTGGCTGCCTTGAACCACCAAAAGGGCAGAGGTTGTGCAAAGACGGGCAGGGGAAGGCCAACCTGATGCTGCCCCCTCACTTAATGGGATCCTAGGGACTTCAAATTGGGAAAAGAGAATTACTGTAGTGATCAAGGAAGGGACTGGGGCAGAGTGGGACAATCAGCCTCCAATCACCTCCTGCCAGGATGGTCACAACCACTGCCACCAGCTCTCGATGGCTAGTCTATGGCTCCCATCAGTCCAAGCTCCACTCAACAACTAATGTGGCCTTTTACAAATAAAAGCAGCCTTGACACTGTCTTGCTCAAAACCTTTTGGTGGCTTCCTGGGATTAAGTCCCACCTGTCTCTTAGGGTCTCAACACTCTGCAGCCTGGGTATCTGCTCCAGTTCCTGCTGTGGTGGGACCCAGACCCAGCAAGCTGGAGCCACCCTGCCTCACAGCCATGGGCTCTATGGGCCAGGAACAGGGATCTGGAAGGCGGGAATGGCTTAGTTCTGCTTCCTGATGTCGAAGCCCAAAAATGAAGACTCCAAAGCTGGGTGGCCCCATGGCCAGGGGCTGGAATCAACTGGAAGCTTCTTTCTTCACATGCCTGGGGCTGCCTATCAAGCACATGGCCTCTGCACAGTGGCTTCTGTAAAGCTCAGGCTCTTCTCTCATTTGGCCTTGCAAGCCAGGTAGAGTCACTCCCACTGTGTTATGCTGGGACAAGTTCACAAAGATACTCAGATTCAAGGAGGTGGTGCATGGACACCAGAGTCCCACTGTCACAGCTCATAACACTGAGAGTTCCACTAGTCACAGCTGATAACACTGAGGCCAGACAGGGCCACAGAGAGGCTCAGAGTGTTGAGGTCTCCTTGGGTCCTGGGAGATGATGTTGGGCTCTCTCTGAAGAAGCAATCTGCCATAGGCTCTTTACACATCCTCTCTGCCCAGACCCTTCTTTCTCCACGAGGTCACCTGCTAGTTCTGAGCATCACTTCCTCATAGAGCCCTGATTGCCCCACTCAGGCTCAGCCAGGTCTACTGGTGAGATCTGCCCTCAGCGCCCGGCACCTCTGTGCACACAGTCTGCCTCCCAGCCTGACTGCTGCTCAGAGGACAGGGACCTTGGTCAAGAGCAGGTTCCCAACAAACTCTTCCTGGGAGAACTGGGAGGGAAGAAAGAGAGGGTGAAAGGGGGAAAGACAGACACACCAAACTTTCAGTGTTTATCTTGGGCTGCAGAATATGGGTTCCTTATCCTGCCAAGGGCACAGCTTGAGGAGAAGAACTCAGCTCCTTCCCATGTACGTCTGCTGACCTCAAGCCCCAGCCCACCATGCTCCCCATGGCCCCTCAGGAGCTCTCCAGGCCCTCTGGGGAATCCAGAGTGGGCTGACATTTTCACCCCACAGCAGAGCAAGGGAGTATTTCTGACCAACAGTCTAATCTAGCTCTCTAACGTGGGGGCCTGCAAAGACGGGGTTCTCTTCTAAAAAGGGAAGGAACTTACAGATGGAAAAGGGGGACAGCTTGAGAGGCTGGGGAGAGGCTAAGAAGGAAAGTTGCACCCCTGCAGAGGTTAGTGGAAGTCCTAAATGGGCCTCAGTGGCCCTTCTGCCCAGGGGCCAGGAACACAATCCATGGTGCCTTGAGGTGGGGAGAGTTCCACTGAAGTTTTCACCACCATCATCACTAAGACTTTAAGGAGGAAAAAAGAGCCACTGCCAATACTGCCCACACTGCAGTCCAAACAAGGGTGAACAACACTCTTGGGTGCCTCGGGGGGGGGGGTTGCCTTCCTCTTCCTCTTGGACAGAGCACATAGCAGCAGGCCTGGCCCTCCTTCCTCTGACCCTGCCTCCCCACTGACCAGCCTGACAGGGCATCAGGTCTGGAGGATGCTTGATTCATGGGGTCAGGTGCCATCTACTCTCTCCTGCTCTGATCCTATGAATGTTCAGATTTCACCTAAGGTGGCAGATTCTGCTCCGAGATCTCAAGTGGGACTCCAACAGTTCTTCCTAGAAGAGTCCCACTAGTCACAGCTGATAACACTGAGGCCAGACAGGGCCACAGAGAGGCTCAGAGTGCAAGATCTGGCTGGCCCATCCTTTGGAACACTTGCCGCAGCCCTGGGAGATAGATTACTAGAGGTATCTGCCTAATTTACTGCTGCAGGTAAGGGACATTGGAAAGGTGACTCAGGTAGAAAGTGATTCTTCTCTGGTGCCCCACCCCTAGTGGGTGGTCCTAAGTTGCTGCCTCCTGCTAACCTCCAGCAGCAGGGACGGGATGGCCTTGGGCTCCCTTCCCCAGGGTTTGGAGAGCAGTTCAAGCGAGGCCTCCAAAATGGGAGCTGACAAAGGGAGGCTACAGAGCTGAGCAGCGCCCTGGACTGGGGCTCTGTAGGCAGTGCATGGGGCGGGAGTTGTCAGGGAGGGCTGCTCCCTGGGCTTGCAGGGCAGCGATGTGAGCCCATTACCTGAGTCAACTGGGAAGCGCTCTGCCTCTGCAGGACGCCCCCGGAGCTGCCTGGCTCTGGGGAGCAGCGGGCCAGCGAGCAGAGCTGGCCCGCCAGCCCGTGTCGAGAAAGGAGGGGGCCGCTGAGGCCGCCAAAGTGGGCGGGCAGGGAGGGGCTGGACCAGCTGGGGCTGGAGCTAGTGTGACATCACCGGGCGGCCCGCCCCTGTCTGGGCTGAGGGGAGGCCCGGAGCCTTTCTGGGGCCTGGGGGATCCTCTTGCACTGGTGGGTGGAGAGAAGTGCCTGCAGCCAACCAGGGTCAGGCTGTGCTCACAATTTCCTCCAGCGGCATGTAAAGCCTCCACAAAGGAGTTGGGAGTTCAAATGAGGCTGCTGCAGTCGGCCTGAGGATGGACCCCAAGCCCTGAGCAGCACTGCCCAAGGCCAGACCTGCAGAGCATGGCACCAAGGTGGCCGCCTGCCCCGCAGTGAGGGAAAGCAGATTGAGAGCAGCCCTGGGGCACCCCGCTGGCCCCCGCCCCATCCTCGTTGGAGCCGGCTGCAAGTCAGAGCCAACAGAGGCCAGTGAGCAGGGCTGCCGGGCCGCCAGCTCGGCCTGTGACTTGGGACCTCTCCTGGAGGCCATGGACAAGCTGCCCCGCTGACGCCACAGTGCAGCATGTGAGGAGCGGCCCCAGGAGCCACACAGGAGGGAAGAGGTAAGGGGCCAGCTGCCAGGTCTGTGGCAGCAAGGGGCAGCAAGGCAGCAGCTGGCCCCGGGGCTGGGGGCTCAGACCCTGACCCTTCCACCAGGGAGTGTGTGCAGCTGGACCCAACAGGGATCACTCCCTTCTTTCACTTGGAGCCAACCAGGCATCTGCCTGGGCAGGACTGTGGACATGGGCAGGGGTGGTGCTTGGGGTGCAAGATCACAGGTCAGGATGTTGAGGGCTTCATCAGTGAGCCCCACTCTCCTCCTTCAGACAAAGGGCCTGTGGGGTGAGAGCAGGCGGCTCCTGGGATGGGGCCGCAGCTGGGATATGTGCTGTGCGGGTAGGTGTGTGCCTGAGGGGGCAGTGCACGGACAGCTGCAGACAGCAGGGTAGCGGGACTTGGCGAGGCGTCCTTAGGCTTTGGGCTCCTGCACACCCAGGCTAGAGAATATGCCAAGGCAGAAGCAGAAGCAAATGCAGTCCAGAGGTAGACCAAGGCCTTGCTTAGAAAGTTCTCTGGAGCCCAGCAGCCTGTTCACATCCCTCCAGCTGGTGAGGACAGCAGCAGAAGTGTCCCGTGCTGGATGGGATGTCTGTCACCCATGGGTTTCTGCCACTGGGACTGGGGCAAAGTGCTGCCCTGACCTTCCCTCCATGCCCTAGGACATCAGACCCCTCCAAGCACCCAGGGTCCCCCAGGTCTTGAACTTGCTGAATGCAGCCAAGTAATAGGGGACAATGGGCTTCCCTGGCAGCTCAGCAGGGGGACATTGCAGGCATCACATACCAAGTCCCTTGAAAGTTCTCAGCGTTAGATAACATTTCCAAACAGAAATTCTTTACTGATCCTTCCCTTCTCCCTCTGTGATATGTGTGTCATGGGTCAGCTGTTGCCTCTGCTGTGGGATTATGAGAGCTCCCAGAGGCCAGTTTGGTTACTCAGAAAAGGATCTCTTTTCACCAGGGCTCTGAGGAAAGTTGAGAGCGCCACTTCCTAGGTTGGCCAAATGCTCCCCACGTGGATTTTCCAAGTGCAGGCAGAGGAGGGTAGAGCTCTTGAGCTGGCTTCAAGTCCAGGCTCTTCTACTTACTAGCCAAGTGGCTCTGGCAGAATGGTTAGCCTTTCTAAATCTCAGTTTTCTGTGAAATGTGAGCATAATAATGCCCGTCTCAGCAGCAGCTGAGCCAAGTGCTTCCCAATGCACAGAATCCTTACAATCTCCCTACAGTGCAGACACGATCACGTAACTGAGGTAGGGGTGGAGTGTGAGGCCATGGGGCTAGTCAGTGCCAGCCCCAGGACTTGAGTCCAGTCATGTAGCTCCAGATGCACTAGGCCACATTCCCCTGCTCTCCAGGAGCACATGTGACCTGGTGTGTGGCAAAATCCTTAGAAAACATCAGTCACTGGTTATCATGAGCCATAATAATCAGAATTGCACAGAGGGGACAGCAGGGACTCAAATTACTTCCCTGTTCTCGACATATTCTGCTAAAGTTTTTAGGAAATCCCAGAAGGCAGAGCCAGTGCTGCAGCTACTACTACCCACATGGGGACCTTCCAGGAGCCCAAGGGGCTTTATGTCTGGGGTCACCTGAAGTATGTGTGCATTCTAGAAGTCCACACCCAGGAGTTGTGCAGACACTTGGATCCAAGCACTTGAACCTCACAGGCAGAGCACCCCACCTCTCCCACCTGCCCACGGGCACCACTGCTCTGCTCTTTTGCATCCCTGCTAGAATCTCAGAGAAAATAAAACTTCCTCAATGATACAGGAGGACCAGAGGCCAGGACTGTCCTAGAGTCGCAGAGGAAGAGGCATGGAGTGGCCACCAGCAAGGCTGGCCACGGCGGTGAATCTTGTGCCACAGAACACTGGTGCATTTAATTCCAGGAGAGCACCTTCTGTCCTTTAGCCCCAATAGGCTCCCTGAGCTCTCGGAGGCATTTTGAAAGCTGCTGTGAAATATGTGCTTCTCTAGCACAGGCCTCTGTGGCTGCTGAAGCCACATTTTCCCTGCTGCAGCTGGGAGGCCTGGCGTGGTGGCTCATGGTCTTCTCTGGACAGCTCAGGCTGAGCAGAGGCTCTGACTAACTTCATGGCCTGGTTAACGGGTCTCAGTGGAAGAGACATAAACACGTAAAGCACATGGTCCAGAGGGCTCCACACGGCACTGCTGCAAGCTCACGGGTGGAGGAAGGAGCCCATCATGGTTAAAAAAAGCTCCCACTGGGCTAAGCGAGGAGCACATTTTGTCCCACTTCATTATCACCACAACCCTCAGCGGCAGGTTCTAAGGTTAGCATCCTATTTTATGGATGAGAAAACTAAGGCTCAGAGAGGTTAATTTGCCCAAGGTTACACACTTAATTGATTTCTGTGGGACCTGGATCCAGGACTGTCAGTCTACAAAGCCCATGTCTTCTTCCTCCACATGCCACTGTCTTGAGTAAGGTTCCTCAATTTCTTTTGTCCTGATACTGTTGCTGGGTCCCTGTCCCATGCCCCCAGCAGCCAAGTCTGCTTTTACTGTCCTATGGATCGCTGCACTACCCCCTCTGAGAGCCTCATGCTCATCCGGCCTCATCACATGGCTTGTTATCCACAGAAGCCCACCTTGGAGGCAGCGGAGCAGGAGTGTTACGTCTCTTCCTGGTATCATGTACCAGCAGCTGCACACCACCCCTGCTGTACCATGGCCAGTACAAGGTGGATCTGGGATATTAAACACCTGCATGCCTGGGTGAGCCATGGCACTGGCCCCCATCAGAACTCAGCTCTAGCACGTGGGGGTGGGGCCTCAGAGAAATGTTCATCTACTTGACTGAGGTACCACAGAGCATCTTCTGCATCCTCCTTTGCAGACTCCCTTAGGACTGCAGATTCTGTGCTCAGATCCTCACTGTTTGTACTGAGCCACACTTGAGCAATCCCTGAGCTGACATCTGAGAGATGGCATCTGGTAGCTACAATAGAACAAACAACAGACAGAAGCCCCACCCAAGGCAGGTACATTCAGCCTCTGGCCTCTCTCTGAATCATAACCCATTTAATCTGGAATGTTCTCAATTGACAACAGACAGATGGGGGTGGGGCCCTGCTGTGTGGAGCCCATAGCCCAGCAAGATGAGGCAGGTAGACAGTAAATATTTATACCAACACACAGTGGTGTAAGAGTCCTAAAGAGGGGGCCCATGGGGCTCAGAGGGTTCTCAAGGTGGGTGGTGCTGCCCCATTTTACAGAAGCAGAAATTGAGGCTCAGGAGCACCGTGCCTCTCTCATGGTCTCACCAGTGGGCCAAAGGGCAAAGATGCAAACCCAATCTGTGCTCAGCCCAGCCCAGCCCACTACCATCCTGCACAATCATACGGCAGAAAGCCCCAGAAAGAATCAATTCACTGAATAGCGCATTTTTTCCCAGTGTATATAAAACACCCCAAATAGAAGGGTTATTCAGCTGTGGGCAGCTTGAAGTTTGTGGTGATAGATAGGTCACGCCAGAAACCTCATTTGGGGGCAGTTTCTATGACAAAACTATATTCCCTCACGTGGACTGAGTCTTAGGACTGCTTTAATAACAGCTTTGGGGGGGGGGGTGGCGGTTATAATTCTAACAGTGTCCTGTTCCATGTACATATCAATTGTGAGACACACTCTGATCATAGGAATGTTAAAATGTTGGGTGGGGGAGCCAGCCTCTGACAATCCAGCTATTGTGTCAGGTCCTTTCTCTGGCGACATCAGCCTGTCCTGGGGCCAGCAGGCCCAGAGCCTCAGCCCCCTCTGCTGCCCTGTCCTCCCTCAAGCAGGCCAAGACCACCACAGAGAAGCCCAGAATCAATCCTCTTTTCTGCCAGAGATGCCCAAGAACATGCCTGGCTCTGGAATGCCCAAAGCCCCATCTAAGGTGGTCCCAATCCACCCTCCCCCAGGGAAGGTCCTGTCTGCCTTAACTACTGCCGAACTTCCGAAACCGCCCCTGAGCCAGGCAGAGAGAAGATCTGTATAACAGACAACCAGTGGAACCACGGAGCAAACCCCAGACCCAGGTCTCAAGCAAACAAGCCCTCCACCCAGCTGTACAACAGGCCTCCCTAATGTCCAGCCAGTGTCTTTTCTGGGGTACCTCCCCTTCCCTGAGGCCCCAGCCTGAGTGGATCATGGGCCCCTGAGCCGACCTATCTGGGTGTTATCATCTTCTTTAGGAATGCTTGAGGCTGTGGGCCCCTTGAGGGCAGGGACCTCTCCTGCCTTTTTCCTGCTGTATCTCTAGCCTATGGTATAGATGCTGGCTGGGGAAATACACGGAATGAATGAAATCCTAGAATTCCTATTCAGTGGCCTGGGTGCCATCCTGGGCACTGGGCATTCAGAGGGTTATACACCTCTGAGTCTGCATCCAAGCTCACCATGATTTTAAGAAGTTCACAGGTGGCCAGATGGGTGCATTCTGTGACCTGTATATTGGACTGGAGGAGGCCATGGCCACTTTTGCAAGCTGGAGGAAGGTGGGGACCTCACTACAAAGGGATGTCTTCACAGAGGAATGGCCTCATGAGGTCACCTGAAAGGAAGACAGGCCCGCATCAGGTGAAGCAGTGGGTGAAGTGCTTAAGGCAGAAAGCAGGGCACATGCTAAGGCCAGGAGCTGGCAGCTGGGCTCTGCTTGCAAGTAGGATGCTGAAGCGACCCCTCATTGAGTTTTGGAAAGGCGGCCCTGGATGTGCAGGCAGTGTGGACAGCCATGGAGAGAGCGCCCAAAGGCAGGGAGCCAGCTAGAACTGTGTGGGCAAGAAGCTGACTCCAAGCCCAGCTCCACCCCTTGGCAGCTCTGTGGCCCTGGGCAAGTGACCGTGAACCTTGCCTCTGTGTGCTCATCTGTGAAATGGGGATAACCACAGCCCCTGCCTTGCAGAGGGATCAATGAAATAGACCCAAAAAGAGCTCGCTCCAGTGCTCAAGGAACAAATCCATTCTGACAGGCCAAGGTGTCCCTGGTGGCC